AATGTAATTGCGATAGGGAATAGGATAACACTGTAGAAAGCATTTTGTTACAGAACATTGTAGCATATTTAATGAAGAAATAAACAGGTAAGTACAATAACGTTTTAAGTACAGTGTGTCATAGGCAAGACAAAAAGGTGGATGGAACTAAGCACACATATCCGTTACCATTGTCAAGGGCAAGAGTTTGACATAAATTTTGGTCTAATCGATTCGTAATAGAACTAAACATCCATTCAATCTCAATAGTCAAAATTTAGTCATCACGCATAAGCATTTATTGTAATCCTTAGGAAACAATCCTTAAGAAACAAGGCAAACCCCTTCATGACATTAGGACTGTCAAAAGGAAGATGTTGCTTGAACAGCCAATTGAGAGAAATCAGAAAATTCCAAAACACATGGAGGAAACCCCTTCAAGAACATTACTTGAACAAATGGCTCATGGTCTCTCACCGACCGACACATTGTACCCTAGAACATTACAATTTTCCAAAATGTGGAGATTTTCTCCCTTCTTCAGCCTACATACCCTATGCCTTCAATAATGCCAAAGGAGTGTCGGTGCACTTGGACAACTCCTAACACACTGCATACTATAGCTTGTGACCACCAAATTGAATCACAAAAACCAGAAAGTATTAAGTTCAATTTCATTAGGGTAGCGTCCTATCGTAATGCTTTTGCTATGAGTGGTGACAGAAGAATAAAAACAATGCAACAACATGTACATAAAACTGATTCAAGGATACATAAAAGACTGCTGCAATGTATGTAATACAAAGGATAACCCTCTTCAATAGATATCAAGATACAAACATGCTTATATTGCATGAACGTATCGAAAGAGAAAGAAGAGCTCACCATCCAGTCATGAATTTCTTTGAAGCCCAGCTTCTAACAACCTTGTAAAATGTCTAAAAGCAATATTGAATAGAAAGGTTAGGCAGATAATAAGGAGGAAAGTATAAAATCTGATATATTCCAATTGCGAAGAACTTAGTGAAAGTTGATGTTAATTTGTAATATTGAATTGCTCCTATGAATTGTAACAGAGCCAACATCAATCAATTTCTCCAACGGGCAAAGAGAAAAATAAACCAGATTCTGAATTGAATTGGTCAAGAATTAGTAAGACCAGGCATGTGCTTTACTCTGATACTAGGAAATCCACAACAAATTTACAGAGCGCTACGCTAAAAACGTTCTCGGCGAATCTAAGCACAAGTTACAAATGAAGCATAGCCAGCCTAAATTATACCTCTCTGCCAGAATGAAGAGATGACGAAGGTTTTGAGGATGCATCATCAATGGCGGACTCCGGAACCGAAATAAGAAGCTCTCGATCTCGCTCTCTGTCTCTGCTCGCCATGGCAATAACAACCGATTTCTCATCACCCATGGCCACCACACCAGCAGAGCAACACCTTTTTTATTCAGAAACCCTAACCCTAATTCCCTCCAAAAAGCGGTAAGAACAGTACCAGAATCGGAGAAGAAGCTGTGGAACAGAAATTTCCAGACGGGCAAGAACTTTCCGAGATCTTATTCCTCAATATTAGTTGCTTAATCTTGTAGCTTTCTCGGATTCCAAACTTCAAATTCTCGAAGTAATGAATTTCTGTGAGGTTGAAAAGCTGAAGTGGGAAGTGGGATTGAAGAATTGAATCAAATTGAAATGAACTGTGGAAAATCATGGAGGAAGGTAAGAATTTGCATTGTTGGATTGGTAATTTGCTCAGAATTCTGCTGTCAATTAGTTTGTGTGAGTTGACAAAAATTTTCTCGCCTCCATTGGAAGAAAATAAATTATTTTTCTTTGAAGATATCAATATTTATTAATATTGTATTTTCAATAATGGGTGAAATTAATATTTTTCAAAATTAGTAACTTATGATATTTAAATATATAACCAAGTTCATTAAGTAATTAATATAAACAATAAAAAACAAAGGGTATGACCTATGCAATAAATTTCAAATTTCATCCAGATTTTGTTGCTATACAGGCTAGTGGCAACTTACGAGGCTGAGCTCGTACCACACACTCGAGCACAGATTGTCCGGGCAGTGCCTCAGATTCCTACAAGTAGAAGATGATCAAATCCGCTACACCCACCTATAGCCCTGATATTAAATCGACTTTAGACTAGCTTTACATTACAAAATACCCCTCGAGAGCTCGAGAAAATGATATTTGGGTTTGGAATAGGGAGTGAATTGGGATAGCTAGCACGAGTATGACTTAACTGATATCGAACGTGTATCATCGATCGAAAGGTCAGAAATTTGAATATTTCATCCCACGGTTTAACTAAATAGGTTAGGGATGGAATATATAATAAGTTTCCTACAAAACATAACTAGTGATTTTTTTGGGACGTTTAAGGATAGAGACAAAGAAGTATAATCTACCATGACAACAAAATGTTTGTGATAAACTTGAAGACTGGCTCGAGATTAGCTCGTTACTCTACTCGGTTGAGTCTTATTCTATAGTGTATTTATGTCATTCTAAAAATAATTTTAGAATAATTGAAGAAGAGGTGATTATGCACGTGAGAGTCGTAAAGGACTCTTTTTAGACAACTCTCGGGAGACCGATTCAGGGTTTCTATAGAACTGTTTAGCTCAAGAAGTACTGCAAAATCGAGCCTAAAATAAAATAAAGATGGGACAAAAATAAAATAAGTATAAAAATTTAAGCATATTTTTAAACCTAAAATAAATATTAATAGTTCAAAATGGGAAAATTAGAGTTCAGGGAGGGAAGAAAATTTTAAAGCTATATTTTATTATACAATTTGATAAAATATCTCAAAAAAAAAAAAAAAAAAAAAAGAAGAAGAAGAAGAACAGTGGAAGATGAAGAGCAAACAAAGATTCAGGCGAAGGCCTCCTGAATCAATCCAACTAAAATTCTCTTCTCCAGATCTTCCACAACTTCATCTGCTTCCTTCATCGATTCTCGGATCGGCCATCGCCAGCTTAAACCAAAAACTCCATTTGTTGCTTGATTAATTTTTGTGTAATTTCTCAAAGATTCCATGCCGTCATAGGCATTCGGCGGCGATTTCTCCGGTGAGTTCCATACTCTCGAATTTCCTGTGTTTATGTAAGCAAACAACCGGTTAATCTTCTTCGAATCGTTTGGTCAGATGAAGTGAAACTAATCGAAGTAAGTTTATGGTTGCAAAATCGATGCAGAATGTTTGTTACCATTCGCATTCAGATGGAGGAGTTCATTTGTGTGACTGGAAGGCGGCAGATTGATCGAAATCGGAACTTTCGAGATAGTTACAGGTTTGATAACTGACAATTCATGTTCTATGTACTTAAAGCTTTCTGGTGTGCGGCATGAGTGACTGAGAGAACTCTGGCTTTCGCTGCAGTAGTCTGTAATTTGGGGAAAATAACTCATGAACATCTTGATCTTAACAACTAAAGCATGCGTAAAGTAAACTTTTGTGTCAGACACTGAGATTAGGCAGAAGAACAGCTGCAAATTAAAAATATCTAGATAGTGTTGGATGAACACGACTCTACACAATGGTATGATATTGTCCACTTTGAGCATAAGCTCTCATGGCTTTGCTTTGGGCTTCCCCAAAAGGTCTCACACCAATGTAGATAGTATTTCTTGATTATAAACCTATGATCATTCCCTAAATTAGTTGATGTGAGACTTTCATCATCCAAGAGATAGAAGTTGAGCAACTTTATCACTCTTGTTTTAGAATTTAAGCCTCATTTGTGTGATGCTGTCTGGAAACATCATTATTTGATTTTTCACTCCTCTTCATCAATAAAAACTTTATTCCCTCTATTACTAACTAAAATAATAAACCAATTGCTACTTTTGACATTTATCTGTTACTGTAATTGTTGATACTCTTGGATCAAATTGAAACCAAAATTTTTCATATCGAAAATGCTTTACATTCGTTTAAATTATAACATCTTAGATTTTAATGCAGATCTTATTCTGAGATTGTGAGCATAGCAAACAATCAGTGTTCTACTCTATCTGTTCTAGTTATATTAGTTAGGAGATTTACCACATGTTTGATGTCTGGAGCTTCCAGCTTTTTCCTTCATATTTAACGAAGAGGCTGGAGAATATGTTCGATCGGGCTTCTTAACGTCGCTTTTGCCTCCAAATTTCATGGCCTGCAGAAAGATTTTGTTTTAGTTTTGATTCTTTTCACAGGCCAAAATTATCTTCCCCATCTCCAATCAAATTTTCAGAGCTTGTAACTAATCAATTTCGGCATTCATGCCTCAGTATGTTCTTCACAAACAATGACTGGAAATAAAATGGCATGTTAATGCATATGGGAATATAAGAAAGTTGGGAAGTATTTTTGGACTTACCCCTGGTTTCTCTATTGAAACCTCATTGATGACCTTTTCTGCAATTGCTTGATTCGTGCTCAATGGGCTGCGCTCGGGGGCAGTGTCCGATGTAGGAGTAGAGTCCTGAGGGATAGGTTCCCCTATGACATTTGGTTTCCATTGATGTTTGCTAAGGGATCCCTGCATTTGTTCTTGAAATTTTGGCACAATCTTAGCTCGTGAAAGTGGATTTTTTCTCTCTACAATCTCTTTCTGTGATTCTAGAATTTTCGTATCAGTTTCTTCTTTCCTCTGGAGATTTTGATTGAATGGAATATATGGAATCCTTTTTTTGGGCTTGGTAACATCCACACACTCTTTTGGTTGCCCATTATCTTCTTTTGTGTTTTCAGCTTCTTTTCTGTGATAAATCCTTGAGATTGCAGTCTCTTCAGCCCCTATTGACCCAAGCACTTTTTTGGAACGTAAAGCTTCTACTTTATTGTCATTCTTTTGTTGATGATACTTTTCTTTCATCTTCAGTTTCATGAACTTTTTCTTGTTCAATGCTGCATCTTCCTCGAATACGTGTGCTTGGCGTTCCTCCGATTCAACCTGTGCAACACGCATAGGTTGTAGAAGTACAATTGGTGGAGCAGTATGGGTTAACTCTTCTCCTGAATGGCTGTAGCTTGAATTATTGAAATGGTCACTCGCTTCCTTTGTAAGATGCTTAAGAATGCCTTTGAATTGCTGGGTGTCAAGATTTGACTTCAGTTTCTTTGTCTCAGCCATCTCCATGCTAAACTTAGGCCTCTGGCGATCTGAAATTTTCTCATCAAGAAACTGTTTGTGTAGATTTTCATGCATTTGCTTTGATTGAGGTTCTAGACCCATTAGCTTTGCAATCAAATTTTTGGTATTAACGTTCTTAGCTGGGTTTGGAGCAGTGTTGTACACCATTGAAGATTGGCTAGAGCTTGTGGATGCAAGATCTGAAGATGAGTTTTCCATACTACTTTCAGGAAAACTGATTCTTTCAGCCTTGTTTGTTGTATTTGGAAAGACGAGCTGTCTTGCAAGGCGATCTCGGATCATCTTCTTCAGTTCCTCAGCTCCATCTCCATAAGAACAATCAGCCGAAAGCCGGGGTTTTTGAAAGTCATTTCGGCCAGTTCTTCTTCTTTCTATCCGTTCATTTTTCTTCTCCTGAGTCATATACCTTGAAGCTTCCTGCAGTTTCCCTAGAATAACCAAGGACTGCTGCAAATCAAGAGCTCCTTCAAATAAATCTCTTGCAATTTGGTCAGACTGTCCATCACATTTCGTCTCGTTAGACCACCGATCAATTGTCCGATTCAGCTTCTGAGTTCCTCTCGACACTTCCATGAGTTGAGATGAGGATGAACTACTGAACTCATCTCCTACTTCTTTGATGGTTGTTTGCTGTCTTTGTAACTTACAGTCCGAAAATTCGTAAAAATTCTTCCTAGCTGTCCGACTTTTGATCGGCTTCTCCATTTTTGATGAAGCAACTTTCCTTCTCCTGGCAGTGTTCTTATCAACTATACCTTTTGGATCATTACAAGTTAGAAACGAGTTGTAAATTCTTGATCTTAGCTTGTCCTGAGGCATATCTTATTGATTGAGATCGCATGTACATTGCAAAGCGGACTCAGATGCTAACATTACTGATATCCCACGAACCATTTCCAAGAACTCCTACACATAACTCTTGCATGGTTTTGGATATCATAGTAGTAATTTCAGGCTCTGTGAGGAAGTTTTAACCTGTTTGCCTCTGTACATAGGAAAAATCCAGGAAAATGAAGCAGAAGTGTTGAACCAAAATAAAGAAGAAAAGAGGTAACCTTGAGGATAAGGAGGGGCGGCAAAGCTCTTGATTGATCAACGCGAGTGAACTGTGCTTAGACGCTTCGTAAAACCGCACGGATAGAGAGGGGAGCTGATGGATGAGTAGACTCAATTGAAGGCATTAGAAAGAAGAGGAAAAGGCATTAAACATAGACTGACCAACATCTCAAAGAAGTTTCAGAGCGTCGAACCGGAAGAAGCGAATCGAACTCGAGCAGAACAGTTGCTGGCTTTGACATATGGAGAAAGAAAGAACAGTAAGTTTTGATGCTTTTTTCTCTTAGTTTTCTGAGGATTCTTAGAGAAACATGAAAGTGCCATTAATGGCTGCTCTTGATTTGGGTCGTAGCCATTTCAAGAGTACTGTTGAAGCAAGCCCTGTCATGAGTAAAAGCATGAAAAAGCTGAAGCTTCACACAAGGGAAACTGCCTTCAACTCAGGTTAGTTGAACTTATTCATTACATTACTGTTTCTTACATATCTGCCTTGGAATGTTTGGGCCATTTGTAGCCAACAACTACTTTAGGGATCTCCAAATAGAAAACCAATAATTTCATGGTTTGCTCTCATTCCAGCAATGTGTAATTCTCTCCCAATTAATGATTCATGTGCATATTGAATTAAAGAGAATCATTCCTTCTTTAATCTTTGTTCTTAGAGTTAGGTTTTCATAGGGTTTATTAGAAAGCTAGTTTGAAATCTTAAACATGAAGAAAAATATTACGATTAGTACTAATTTACGATGGGTATCTCTGTAAAAGTGAGAGGAACCGTAAAGATAGTTACCCATTTCAATTATAAATTTAGTTCTGAACTTTCACATATCTGTAAAACAAAACACGATATAGAGAGTTTCGGGTTCTATTAGACAATTTTGAAAGTTCAAGGACCAAATAGACACAAATATCTAAATTCGGAGACACTTGTAATTTGATCTGACTTTGGCTTTATTTATAAGTCATGTAGGGTAATTCCAGCGTATTTCTATAAAAGTGAGAGGAACAGTAAAGATAATTACTCATTTTAATGATAAATTTAGTTCTGAACTTTCCCAGATATTAGACAATTTTGAAAGTTCAAGGACCAAATAGACACAAATATCTAATTCGGGGACACTTATAATTTGATCTGACTTTGGCTTTATTTAAATGTCATGTAGGGTAACTCCAGCCCGATTCCCAAATTTAAAATTTGGTAATGTTTTCGTTTCTTATTTGGAAATATGGATTATTTTTGGTTGTGGATGATGAAGGATAGTGAAGGAGAGTAATTACTTTTATAAATGATTTACCATCCATAATGAATTAATTAATTGAATGAGGTTCATGCTTAAATGCATTCACATGATTCTTGCAAGCTAAGGCATAGTATTTTCTTCTCTTTTTATTTTACTTTTGCTGCCTCTCATAAATGCATACCGCTTCTCTTTTTTCTCTTTTTTTTTCCTCAGTTTTTTCAAATAAAATTTGAAATTTATTTAAAAAAATGAACGTTTGGAATCAAATTTAATGATCGTATTTCTTTTTATGATTTAAAAATTTGAAATTAAATATATTCATATTTTGAATTCAAGTTGGAGATCTCAATTTTACATTGTCATTTTGTTCGTTTTAGTATTTTTGAGTTTTTTTTTTTAATTTAGGGATATTATTGAAAAATTATAAATTTTTGGGTTATTTTTTAGAGAGAGTATTTTTATTAATTTAGCTATTAAAATTAGCTATTTATTTTATCTTATTGTTAAAAAAAAAAAAAAAACTATGTGAAATTCTTGGGCCACACCAGGGGTTCCCAACTTGGCCCATCTCCTTTCCTACTTGGGCCACTTGGGCCTTTTTGGTCCATTTTTCGTCCTGGGCTTCAATTAACAAAATTAGGGTACCTGGGCTATATTTTTGTTGGTCCATCTTTCACTTCGGGCTTGGGTCCAGAAACTTGGGCTAAAAAGACCATCTTTGCCCTTAAGGATCAAATTTGTGGAGGTCGAAGGGCATTTTAGTAATCTCAAAACTACCCATAACTAAATAAACTAAATGATTTTTTTTTTTAAATTTATATAACCAAAAATATGTTTTTATGTTTTCTTTAAATAACAAAAAGTGGGGTTTTTTTTTTTTTTTTTTAAATTTCAAAAACTCCCAAAATTATTCCCTAATTCATACGACCTACCGCCTTAAAAACTCCCAAGATTTAATGATAAAACAATATATTTGTAATAAATTACCTTAAAATAAACATATTATATTTGACATTTATTTTTAGAATATAACATTACAAACAAGAGACCGAGATTCTAACCATTCAAACTCCGGTTAGAATTATAGCTCTCGGTTGACTTCAAATGACTTCTAATTTTTTGACGGATAGAAATTGTCGGATTTTCATACACAAAAAGTAGCCACTAAAAAGAAAACCAATCTCTAATTTCACTTAGAGAGAGAAAGGAGGGAGAGAGAGAAAAGGTGGTAGTTGTGCTTGTATGTCTCTCCCTAGTTTGTTGCCAAGCATTGATCTCTCAACCATTGAATTAAAAGAGAAACTCAACTAAATTTGCAGCCTTTATTGCAAACACTTTTTCCACTTAAACCCTTCAGCTATTTCTTTCTTACACATTCACATCACAATCTATTGCACCAAAGAACACCAAAAAGAAGAAAAAAAAGAAAAAAACTGCAATATTTTCTCTAAACCCAGACCCCAAAAACCTCGAAATTCAAAGGAAAAAAGTACCCATTTCTTGATTGCTTCAATTCATTACAAAAAAATTTGTTGTTGTTGAAGAAAGATAAGATTCAAAATGGTTAGAGCTCTGGTTCAGCAAAGCGTTCAGCAATCAAGATCATTCCAATTCAAGAGAACCGTGGAGCTTCCTGGAAGAAAAACCCATAGTTTGATTTTAGAGAGTGGACAAGAGGGCCATGGTTCAAGAGATTCTTCAGAATCCCAAAGAATTGGATGGTCATTGAGTGACAATAAAGGCTCGGTTTCGTGTTTCGATGGACATGGTATCGGAGCAAGAGGTCTACGATGTCAACCTACCTCTGGTAAAATTATGATGTTTTTACCTCTTTACTCATCGAGTTGTATCGATTTCATCAAATTGCAGAGAAAAACGACATTAGAGTAGAAATTGTTGCACTTATCTAAGTTAGCTTGAGAGTTTCTTTATCTTCTCACCAGTTTGGTCACTCATGAATTTTTTGGCTCAGATTTGGAATTGATGATAGCAAAGTTTGCTAAATTGCTTCTGGGTGAGGATATGTCAGGAGGTGGAAAGGGTGTTTCTTCTGCCCTGGCTTTGTCTAATTCTATAACAAACCTAGCAGGTATCTTTTCTTTTTTCCTCCTTGTATCTGTCTTTTCTCGAACATCATGCCATATTTAGATTCCGGTTTACATTTCTTCGGGTTCAACAATATGTTAAAGGGATGATTTGAATGTCAGACATTTCGGTCGATGATATGTCTTAATCAATTGACCTAGAATCTAATTTGTATCAATATGAAAACACACTGTAGCGTCTACTTTTGGGGAGCAGAAGCTCGAGTCGTTATCTTCGGAGAAGAAAACGAGATGGAGAAGAGAAATAGAATGGTTTTTATCTGTAACCGATCATATTGTTGAATTTGTCCCTTCAAAACAAAGGACAAAAGCTGGAATAGACATGGAGGTCCTCCTCTCCCTAAACTCCTTTTTCTTTCCAATTTTTTGAGTTCAACACGTGGAAGCGGGAATTCAAACATTTGACCTCTTGGTCGAGGGAATATACATGGTTCCCTTCCCTCGTTCCTCCCCTTGTGTTCTAAAGGATTGTTTGTTTTTCTTATAGATCATGGTGACTTTACAAAGGAATGATTTACTCATGAACATTCCAGCACTTAGAAAACTAGATGCCATGTTAATTGTAAGTATCTCACCCATCTAAGAGGTCCACATTTTCCCAAGGACCTTAAGGCTTATCATCCTTACCTCCAGTTCTCACTTGAATATCATTGGCAGGGTTACCTGGATCAATTTGGTAAACTAGATGAATTTTGGTATGTATCAAGAGATGATGAATCTATTACAGATTATACACAGAGGGATGGAGACAAATGGTGGCTACCAGCAGTTAAGGTACCTCCGAATGGGCTATCTGAAGTTACTCGAAAATGGCTGCTGTTTCAGAAGGAATCTGTGAACCAAATTCTAAAAGCAGCCATGGCCATAAATGCTCAGGTCTTGACAGAAATGGAAGTACCAGAAAGCTACATTGAGTCTCTCCCAAAGGTAAGAGAAAAAACTTGTGATTTAAGAAGTATGGTCAGTTTAGGTCGGTTAACACGACCGTGTCTAATATGTATAAGATACTTGTTAGGCATATATCGGACACTAATTTAGCAAGCATAAATCAAACTCATGTGTTAGCATATAAATCTATCATGTTTTTAGGAATGATATAGTAAATGTTGTGTTCGTGACCTAGATTTTCAAGAAATGACATTTCACTGTGTTTGGGTCGTGTCGTATCTGTGTCTCGTGTCCGTATCCGTGCTTCTTAGCTTAGGATGATTGGTTATATGAAATTTGAAGCTGACCTTGAATTGTGAGTGTCTTTTGTAGAATGGAAAAACAAGCTTGGGAGATGCAATCTACAGGAGCATAACAGATGATTATTTTAATCCAGAGGAATTCCTAAAATCAATGGACTTGTCAACAGAATACAAAGTGATTGATCTTAAGAACAGGATTGAGGCCTCAATTGTGATATGGACGAGGAAGATGCATCAAAAGGATGGAAAGTCCACATGGGGTTCAGCAGTGAGCTTTGAGAAAAGAGAGATTTTTGAAGAGAGAGTTGAAAGCATCTTGTTCTTAATTAAACAAAGATTTCCAGGGATTTCTCAATCTGCTCTTGATGTATCCAAAATCCAACATAACAAGGTAAAAATGAACGCTTCGATAACTGTCTCGGCTAAAAAGCCCTTGAACTTTGCCCTTTCTTTCAAAACTACCTGTGAAGTAGAAACTTTACCCTGGGACAATGTGCCGGAGTTCGGGTTCCAGGTCCTAATCTTTGTCCAATATCCTATCTAATTTCTATTTCAAGGATAGTTTCAAATGTTCATAGAAGAGGATTATCGTTTCTAAAAAGGGCAAAGTTTGGAGATATTTTCGTACTTTAGCCTTGCTTTTGCTAAAATGTTGAAACATCAGCAATCCATTGATCTTCATCTTTGGTGATTGTTCACAGGATGTAGGACAAGCAATCCTAGAAAGCTATTCAAGGGTGATAGAAAGCTTGGCTTTTAATATCATGTCCAGGATTGAGGATGTACTTTATGCAGACACTGTTGCTCGAGAATTGTTGACCGAGCAGTCGTTTGAGAACGTTTCTGTGGATACAGAGAAGCAGCTGAGTCCCAATGGCTCCCCACCTTCAAAGACACTCTCAGATTTCATGGGTTGGGACGATGACAATGATAAACTTAATGCAGAATCATTGTCCACTAAGGAGAGTTGCTGTAAAGAAGACGTGACCCTTATGAGCAAAGCTGCTGATGTTGTAACACCAAAAAAATTGTCTTACTTAGAGAAGCTTGAGAATTTAAGTGCTTTAAGAAGTCCAACAGCTCGCCATTAATCAAAAGGTAGAAACTGAAGGAGAGAGGTAAAAAAGGAGAGGTAAGAAAAGGTAAAAAGGGAGAAGCTGAAAAGAAGGGATATAGTGTGATATTTTGAAGTTTCACCCAATGTAAAAATTCAGACCCATGTAGGATTCTATTAACCTATTCTTTTGTAGGGCTTCCTTCTAGCGAAGGAAATAGAAGTTTTTTTTTTTTTTTTTTTCTTTTTATATATATATTTTAACCTTGGGGTTTGAGCATTTGATATGTACATTCTTTCTAGTTGTATTGACTTGAAAGCTAATCTAGCATTTCATTTTTTTTGTTCATTTTTTAGGCCCTTAAAATAGTAAGAGGATATATTTTGAACTTCATTCATTTACCAATGTTGAAAATTGTGGTTGTTTTATCACAATTTCTTTACCAAAAAAAAAAAAAAAAAAAAAAAAAAAAAAAAAAAAAAAAAAAAAAAAAAAAAAAAAAAAAAAA